TTTGTATAACATTTGTAAAGGTCAAGGCCATTGGAGATTGTAACTTTTATTTTCATTTTTTAGTTAAAACGGATAAAAAATTATCGTAAATATTTACGATAATTCAAAAAAACATGTTGCCAAACATCAGTTTAGCAACAAAAGTTACTTTTCTTCGACGTAGCGTCATTATAGGGGATTCCCTTTGAAGAAAACGAAGGTTACCCAATTTTCGTCGAATGCAGCACCATCTATCAGAAATAGAAAAAAAAGTTCAGACAAAAGTTACGTGTTTTTGGATGTAGAATACGAATCTATAATAAAAAGTAGGGGTTCCCATTTAAGATTTCAAAGTTACCCCCGCCCCATCCCCAGGGGGGGCGGGAGGTGGATAATTTTTGTGGGATTAAATTGCGCCCTCGAAATTATTGAAAGTTTATTTGGGACATTTTTGTCGTACAATGCTTATTTTTCGAGATATATAGCAGTCTCAAGTTAAAAAAACACCCTGTATATAAAATATTTATATACTATTTTAAAAAAATAATTCAAAATAAATATTTATAAATATTTATCTAATAACTTACTAATATTGTATGCTGTCTGGGTTAATACTTTAAATCTTAATAGTATTTTGCGTAAGTATTTCATCACTTAGCAAAGTATTATACATTAGTATTTAAATATTGACAATGTTTTGCGTAAGTATTTTACCACTGGACGAAGTATTGCATATCAATATTTAAGTATTGAAATTATTCATAAGGTAGGATTTGTAACATTAAATATTTAAATACTTGAGTACTAAAAGCTGTATTTGAATCACAGAATTACTAACTACTGTACTTTTAATACTGAAAGTAAGTAATTAATCAATGATTCTTAATATGATATTTTTATAAGGGACAATTGAATATAAAATAGGTAATCTCCCGTCAGTTCGCGTATGCGAAGCAACACCTTTGCCAATACAGGCACAGATTTTTGCGGTCCTTTTCATATCAAGGAGAGAAAATATCGCAATCGAACCAAAATCAAGGTGTATACATGCATATTCGTATGTATGCTATAAAGGCAATACACCTTGAAATCGTGAGCGACCTATCATCCGACGGCTTTCTC